AGCTTCCTCTGTTCACAACTCTCTTCAATCTGAGAGTTACGGATGAAAATTTGATCCATGAACTCCTGCAACATGTGCTTCCAAGGAAGGGAAAGACAACCTCAATCATTCTCTGCATGATTCTCTGCAGGAGTAGGAGTTTGGGGTTTGTTTGTAACCTTCATCATTCCCCTTTCTTCTGTTGACTGAATATGAAAATTTATGGGCCTCTGTTGAGACTATCATCCTGTCCATCCTGTCCCCCATCAAACCATGAATTTGGGCCTGATCTGAGCAGTGAGCAGAGACATTGAAGCCAAAGAGGAGGGGCTTCGGTTGGAAGAACACTTTGTGAGGGGAGCAGTAGTTTAGCTTCATAGATTCTAAAGTCCTGATTTAAAGCCTGGATCTGCTATTCTACTGTGATCCTTTTGCTGTGTAAGCGGTTAAGTTACTTAACCTCTCTGGTCTTAGTTTACTCATCTGTAAAATGGTGGTAATGATGGAGGGTGACATTAGCCTTTAACTCCTTTAATTGTCTTTGTGAGGATTGATAAATGAACATAAACTGCTTATCAGACTCTCTCTGTATTGTGTGTGTGTGTGTGTGTGTGTGTGTGTGTGTGTGTGTGGTGTAATTAAGCATTCACACACTTTATCCATCATCAGGTTTTCCTGCGCAATTAAAATCATGGTGCACCAGGGTGTGACAGCTCTGGTCACAGAACAGTTAAGTAAAGGTTCAAATGATGGAGAGATGGACGGATGAATGGTTGGCTGGACAGTTAATTGGATGAGTGAATGGCTGGCTGAAGAGATGATGGCTGGCTGGAGAAATGACCAGTGGAGGGAGATGGCTGGGTGGAGAAATAAAAGGATTACTAGAAGGATAGAGGATGTCTGTGTGGATGGTTGGGTGAAGAAATGAACAGCTAGATGAACAGATAATTGGAAAGATGGAGAGAAGATGAATGAATGATTAAATGGATGGAAGATGATTATATAGAAGGCTGGAGAGATACTGTCTGTCTGGCTGACCGGATGAAGGGTTGGATAGTAGGGCAGATGTATTGATGGGTGAATGGGTGAATGGGTTAATGGGTGAATGGATGAACGGGTAAATGGATGAATGGGAGGCCTAAATGAGCAGATAGATAAACAGATCTGGATAAAAGCAGAAGATCTGGATAACCAATAGGGGAAAGCTTAGAATAATACCAATGGATGAAATTTATAAATAAAGTAGCAAGGAATGATTAAATGAGTGAGTTCATCTTAACACCACTATCTAATATCAAAGATGAGCATAGAAGTCTCTTGTCTAGCTAGTGTATATTATAAAAGGTAGAAATGAGGAGTGTGTGTCCAAGATTTATTTTCCCTAGCTCTTGCTCCTCGCTCCTTCAAGCTGGGGGGGAATAAGGTGGGGCAGAGCTGGGCAGGACCTCTTACCTCTGAGCCTCGCTTTCCTTCCTTTGGCAGTGCAGCTGAAGGATCCTCAGCGCTTCTGTGGAGAGGAACCAGGAGGGCCATGTGAGAGCTCTTGGGGAGCCAGGCTTGGGTGGAGGTAATGGGCGCTGAAGGGCACTAAGAGCACTTTAGTGTTTACTTCAAGTCAGGTGGCAGCCAGTGGAGAGGTCTGAGCAGAGAGGGAAGCAGCCTGACTCAGGTTTCAGTGGGATTCTTCTGGCCTTTGTGGGGTGATGGGGTAGAATAATGAAGACAGAACAGCTGTAAATACCTTGCTTTTTTCTCAAGACCTCCTCTAGGTGTACTTTCTCTCCATTCACTGAAAAACACAGTAACACTTTGAGCCTCCAAGGAAGGGGCTATATCACGTGCCCCCACTGCAACTTCATGCAAAGGGCATGCCCAAGGTCATACAGAAGGTCTGGTGCAGCCCCAGGAGAGGGGAGGTATGTTCTTGCCACCCTGCACCCATCTCCCACTGGGGACCATCCAGATCCAGCTTCTCCCTGCGGGTGCCCACATTCCCTGTAAACTCCAAAGGAGTAATGACTCTGTAGGATGCACAATGTTTATAGCGAGGAAAGAGTTGACTAGAAATAAATGCACTAAGTCATGAAGAAGCACATCAAGCAGGAGAGTGAGAGTAACAGAGAGAGAGAAGATGACATCCTATTTCATATGGGACCATCAAGGTAGACCTGTTGAGTGAAGTTTGAGCCAAGAGCTAAAGGATGACTTGAGATAGCAAGAAGCAATCTAGATTACATAGCATAAGAGCATTGCAGGCAGAGGGAACAGCCCATGCAAAGACTCTGAGGTGTGCACAGGAACACCAGCAGTGTCATGGGATCTCTGGGTCCCTCTTTTGGTCTCACTTACAAGAGTCCAATTCCCTGTGCAGCGTCTCCCAGAGAGCTTGAGTTTCTCCCAATTCCTCATTGGATTTCTTCTTTGCTGAGTCAAAACACAGAAGAAGACACTGTGAATGCAGCCTCTAGCCTGGCTATTCTCTCTTAGATTGTGACACAGCATGCTATCTTCAAGCAACCTGGAGGGGCGTGAATTTTATAGATGAGGAAGGGGAGTCATTCAAAGTCCAGGGCCAGCCTCAGTCCCAGTTTACCTTGCTGAAGCTCATTAATCCGGTTAATCAGATCTTCTATCTGTGGCTCCAGGCTTCCCTCTGCAGAAGGAAAGAAAGATTAAATCAGAGAAGACAGATGCCTGGCTGTCCAAGGCAGATGGAAGGTGGGTGTGTGTTGGCATTGTGTCTCTGCTGCTATCATCAGCACACATTTATTGAGTGCCTGTTGTATGCTGGGCTCTGTAAGAGGCCCTTTGCAGGGCTTGCATTCTGGATGGGAGAGATGGACATTGAACAAAGATATATATCAATGTAAGTGGCAATAACCTGCTGTGAAGGGGAATAAAGTGAAGCAAGGGGCTGGAGAGTGAAAGCGTAGAAGGTGCTTCTTGAGATGTGAAAAAGGCTCCAAATGTAGAAAGGGAAGGGAGCCCTGCAGTTTGGTGGGGATGTGGGGTGTGGAGGGAGGAACCCTGCCGGGCAGATGGACTAGTGCGGAGAGAGTGAGGCAGATGCCCAAAGTAATGGCTAAGGGGTTGGTGTGGCAGGTGTGAATCTAGTAAGCAAGTGGGGAGCAGCAAGGGGCAAGGTGGGGGGAAGTGGGGGTGCAGATCACTGAGGGTGTCCAAGGACATGCTGGGGGCTTCTAGTTGTAATTCTGAGCGTGGTGGGAGCCGGAGAAGACCCCCTGCCTGCCCCATCCTGTTAAAAGCCTGGCAGGGTAGTTGTCACTCTGTCCTTCCAGACCCTGGTATGGGTCCCATTAGAGAAAATGGGAAAGTGCTGCTTTAATCTTGTGGGTGGCAGCTTTCAAGTTCTCCAGTGACAGGGAGGTCGCTGCCTCTCTAGTGTAGCCATCTCTACCTTCTTACAGCCCCGTTATCAGTGTTTTGTGTGGAGAAGCCTTCTTCCTCATCCCTCTTTTGGTTTCAAGATCAGCAGCACAGAGCTGGGGCAAAAAGCTTCCCAGCCCTTGCTGGGTCCCCAGCCCCAACACTCTGGAGTTAGTAAACTCAAGCCCTGGATTTTCCGAGGCCACCAACTCCAGCTCCTGTGACTTCTAGCACAGTGGGTGCTTCCAAGGTGCTAATTATGGCTGACAAAGCTCCAGGCCTGCAATTTCTCTAATGTTAGCCTAGGCAGGAGCCCCTGTGCACTTCTGCAGGAGCCACAGGGTCTGGGGAAGGGGAGGTTCCCTTTTATTAGGAACAGATCAATGCACTGTAGAATTTAACCTGAGGATGGGCTGGGGAGGGGGTGTGTCCAACCTCCAATCCAGCCAGAATTTAGCCCAGCCCTGATATAGAGGGCTCCCAGGCCCCCTTCAACAGCAAAGCAAGGCGCAAAGCTATTTGTATTGCCATTTGTGTATAAAAAGGGCAGACAAAGAACACACACCCACGAATGTATTTTTTTTTAATCTCTAGAAAATACCCAAGAATTTAAAAATAGTCACTGCTGGCCTGTGGGTCAGGGAAATGGATGGTGTGTGTGTGTGTGTGTGTGTGTGTGTGTGTGTGCGCACGCGCACGCGGAAAGAATAAATTGTGTTAGAGGGAGAGAGTGCCATGGGATAATTCTCCAAGGTTGTGAGCTGAGGGAGCTGGGTTTGAGCCACATGCCTGACTCAAAACCCCAGGGGAGCCTCAGATACAAGGAGACACAGGACCTTTCTGCAGCTTTTTCACCATTGACAGCAAGTCCTCAGTCTTCAAAGGTTTGGTCTGCCCTGTGGAGATGAAAACCAGAATTACAGGATCCAGTGAGAGTGAGGGGACTGCGGAAAGGCCTATCTGGGAAGGAAGGAAGGAAGCCCCAGTGGGTTCTACAGACACCCCTGGGCTGGGACCCAGGCCAGGCTGAGGGCGAGGCTTCCAGCAAGAGGAGGGCCTTGACAGGACCCAGCCCCTTGCGCCTGAGGATCATGGTGTGTGCTGGATGGATCAGGGACCCTTATGGTCAGCTTCTCCCTGAGGTCAAAGGACACTACAGATCCCTTATTATAAGCAGTTCTCAACCTGTGGGTCGCGAACAATGAAAATACATCCTGCATATCAGATATTTACATTACAATTCATAACAGTAGCAAAATTACAGTTATGAAGTAGCAACAAAAATAATTTTATGGTTGGGGGTCACCACAACATGAGGAACTGTATTAAAGGGTCGCGGCATTAGGAAGTTTGAGAACCTGTAGTAAGGCTTAATACAACACAGGCATGAGAGAAGGGGAAGCACTTTTGCTGCTGCTGTTCAGAATAGTATGAAGTTCTAATCAATGCGATAGGGCAGAGAGATTTCATATGAATTCTGTAAAATCATTATAGGCCACAATTTGCAAATCTTAAAGAATTTATGGGTCTAGGAAATAGTTATTAATGACTAACAATAAAAAAAAGACAACAGGGTATTATGAGCTTTTTGATGGAAGAACATAACAGCACCTATGAAGGATTCTTGCCAACCAAATTAAAAAAAAAAAAGAAATCTTACTAAGGTTTCCATATCTACATGCCAATTCAAAGGAAGTGCAAGGGGCAGTAAAATATGTTAAATTGTATCATGGGGATGTGATCAGCATTTTAAGACTCTGGCAAATTCCACAAGACAATCTTGTTTCTTCAACAAGTAAATTGTAAAGAAGAAAAAGGGAGAGGGGGAAACTATGATTAAAAGACTTGAGACAGCCCTAGCTGGTTTGGCTCAGTAGATAGAGTGTCGACTTGCGGACTGAAGGGTCCTGGGTTCGATTCCAGACAAGAGCACATGCCTGGGTTTTGGGCTCCATCCCCAGTGGGGGGTGTGCAGGAGGCAGCCAGTCAATGATTCTCTCTCATCATTGATGTTTCTATCTCTCTCTTCCTCTCTGAAATCAATAAAAATATACTTTTTTTAAAAAAGACTTATATCAATCAATTGTAATGAATTTGGATCTTAATTCAAACACACTTTCACCATATATACTTCTATACATTTTTTTAAAAAATATTTTTTTTAATGGTTTCAGAGAAGGGAGAGGGAGAGAGAGATAGAAACATCAATGATGAGAGAGAATCATTGATTGGCTGCCTCCTGCAAGCCCCACACTGGGGACCAAGCCCCACAACCCAAGCATATGTCCGTGACCTTCTGGTTCTTAGGTCAACACTCAACCACTGAGCTATGCCAGCTGGACCTTCTATACATCTTTAACAGGAGCCTATGTTACTTTTAGAATTATAATAACAATAAAATAACAGAAAAAAAATATTGACATCTTAAACTTTTGAAATCAATGATAGAAGGTCAAATCCCAATGACTCATCCCTCTCCAAGGAAAACTGGGCAGAGACTATAAAAGGCAGCACACAAATCACACATGATGGCTAAAAAGCAATAAACAGAAAAGTCTCTTCCCCTCAGACACCAGTTCCTCAATTTCCCTCCTCAGAAGTCGCTAGTGTTACAAGCTTAGAGATAATTCAATTCATATGCAAGCATATCTCCACCCTTTCTATATAAGTGGTATCCTATCCTAAATGATGTTCCACAGCTTGTATTTTTCATTTGACAATGTATACTGGTGATCTTTTTATTCTTTTTAGTGGCTGAATAGCGGTCCACAGAGTAAATATACCATAATTTAAGAGAGGTCCCTTACTAGTGGATATTTAGTTTGCTTTCCTTCTTTTGCTGCCAAAACTAAGTACCATCAACCGGGGCTTCCTTTTGTGTGTGTTTGTGTTTTCACCTTGCATTCTATCTCTGTGTCCAAAATTCCCTCTTCTTATAAGGACACCAGACATTGGGTCAGGGCCCACCCTGATCCAGTATAACCTCATAGTAACAAGTCATATCTACAGAGTAAATATCCAAAACTTACTCAACTCCTCTGGATCAGAACTTCCACTTCTAGGAATCTATCTTAAGGAAAAAATTAAGGATGATGGCAAGATGTTGTTTCATTGTTTGTAATCTTAAAAGATGGAAGCAACCTAAAGATGCCTTAGTTGATTATAGCACTTTTGTAGGATGAAATTCTTTGCAGCCATTAAAAATCATGTTGTGAACCAGGGGCTTGTAACCCGAATTTATTAAATTTTGTTAAAATATTTGGTGGTGTATTCACTCTCTTTACATATTTTTGTCTTGCCTGAAACCTTTTACAAATTATATGCATTAATTTAATTTTGCATTTGATTTTTTAAATTACTTATTAAACAAATGAAGAACATAGAGTAAAAAATATGTCTCCCCTCACCATTAGCCCCTTCCCCAAGTCAATCCCCTTCCCAAGAAGTAATTACTGCCAACAGTTTGGTAAAGACATGCAGATCTTTTAGTAAAATGTCTTTTATGTATTGTTTTAATTTTTACTTTCTTATCCAAGTAACATTCTAAAAACATTCAAACACCACACAAACATGTGAAGTTAAAAATGAAACTTTCCCTTCTCTCCTTAGCCCCAAATCTCAGTGCCTTTCTCTGGTATTAATAGGCTGGTATGTAGTCTCTTGAGATTTTAAGCAGTTTTAAATACTCTTACTATTTGGAAATTAAACAAAAAAGTAAAGCTACTTTAATAATGAGGATAAGTATTTGTTATTGTTTTTTAAATAGTTCATTATGAAAACTTCAAATGCACATAAAAGTAAGGAGAATACCGTGATGAGCCTGATTTATTCATCGCCCAGATCTGACAATCCTTAATATTTGCTTCAGCTGTTTTTCCAGGAAAGCCCCAGGCTTCGTAACATGTCATCCCCAGATACTTAAGTTTCACTACTCGAAGACATTTTCTTAGATGACTCCAATCCTATAATTATACCAATATTAACAATTATCACTAATCATTGGATCATTAATATCATCTAGTACCCAGAACATATGTGATTTCCCCGACTGTCCCCATGCCTTTTATAGCTGGCTTTTGCAGCCATTTTTGTGAAAGCTCCATCTATGTTTTTCCTCTCCCCTGCACTTCTAGTCCTAATCATTGGGGTATGATCATGGGTGATCAGTAAATCTTTTAAATAATCCAGCTAACAACTTAATAAACGTTTTTTTAAAATCCATGTTATAAAACAGATTAAATGCATGAGCCCCTTTTAAACATTTTATTTTGAAATCATTTCAGATGTACATAAAAGTTGTAGAAATAGACCACAGTGCTCCTACTTGCCTTGTATCAGGTTTCCCATTTGTGAGCGTTTCTGTACCATAAATCGCAGGCACCATGGCCCATTATTCCTTAATGTTCCAGTGTATATTTACTCTATTCAAGGGGAATCTACCAGATAACCACAGTACAACCATCCAAACCAAGATGCCAATATTAACCAATATTAATATGATTCTCGGATGCAATTCAAATTTCCCTCGTTCTCATCTTTTAAAAAATTATGCAGTGCTACTTACAGTTTCCTAAAAGAAAAACCATCACAAAAATGTCTCCACTTTTGCACAGCCCCCAAGATCCAAGTCCCTTATTAAGAGTCATCAGTGAGGCCTTTTGCCTTCAGATATTTTTCTGTGCAACCTACAAAGGGCTATGGCTGACATTGCTTCTACTTTATTTTGGAAATCCAAACTTTTTCCTCATAAAAATATCTTTTTAGAGTTCATTCTGTGCCAATAAATCATGGTCTTATCCTTTTAAATTTTAATTATTTTAAATTAAATTGCAATTTAACCATTTTTTTTCCTGCTGCTCAAAAAATTTTAAAGGTCCACCACACACAGGCATTCCACAATATGCATGAATATACCTAAGCTTAGCCATTTCCATAATTGCTCCTTTTTTTTTTTTTGGCTTCCATCAACAATGTCCTAATGACTTTTTCTGGCCCAGGTATCTCTATATTCTCCTGATTACTAAGCACGGTGGCCGAATATAGTGACTAGCATTTTAGATGCTAAAAATGTTCTGCCAAACTGCCTCCAGCTAAGCGTTTACTGGTCAGCTCTCCAAGTGAGATAAAAGATGGCCTTTCCCCCCAGAGTAATCAATATTAGATATCATCTCTCCTTTTATAAAGCCAATTTTAATGGCTAAAAATGGTAACATCACCTGCTCTTAAATTTCCTCCTTGCTGATGAAGTAACTTCAATTGTGACAAACTTGAAAGTGGATACTAAAAGCTTTGTAGTAGGTGGCAGCTGCAGTAAGTGCTCAATGAGATCTATTGGCATCGGTCTCATTTCTGTCGGGTCTTTGTAGAAAGCTGGCATTCAATGTGTGGCCCTAATCTGAGAGAGCTCTCCATGTTAGTTACTTCATTATTCATACAATACACAAATTATTGAGCACCTACTATGTGCCAAGCAGGCATTGTTTGGGCCTTGGGGAAAGAGCAACGAATGGTTCTCATGGCGCTGACATCCTAGGACAATAAACAAGTTATTGTCGATGTCTGCAGACAGGTCTGGACAAAATGCAACCGTGTTTATTAACACAGCGGTTTAGGCTGCAGAAAGGGGGTTATGGGTGAGCGGAGGGCGGAAAGGTGGCAGCTGTTGAAACAGTGACGGGTACATGGCGGGACAGTCTTGGGGGTTTTCTTCTTTTCTAGACGGCAATTCCCCTCCCTCCCCTCTCCCGAAGGTGTGGGCATCATTGTCACAACGCCCTGGAGAAAAGCGGTCTGGTCTGTGGGATTAGGATTTAAAAGTCCACACAACGTGTGAACCGCCTGGGTGTCAGAGGATGGGGAGTTACTGTGAATTTCCTCAGATGTGGCAGCAGGGTGGTTTTTGTGAGAATGTCTACCTCCATCCGTTGCTTGAAGAGATGCATACTTAAGTATTATTTACCTTGTTATAAAAGGCCTAAAGTTTTACTCCTTTTTTTTTGGAACTGCTATCAATCTCTCTCTATTGGACTGGGACAGAGGCTTCCCCTCTGCCCTGGCCGCGGCCGGCTTACCCGCGCATCCCTTGCCCTCGCCCTCCTCCGCCTCCTCCGAGGCCGCCAGCGGCTCCAACTTGGCCGCCATTTTCCCAGCAGGAGTTAGTTAGGCGCATGCGCCTTCGACAATTGATGGGGGGGGGGGGAGGAGCACGCGAGGGCAGGAAGGCTCTGCAGCGCGCATGCGTGCAGCACTGGACCAGGATGAGCGCAAAGGAGTTTCCGTGAGCCTCTGGCTCAGCGACATGCGGCTGTAATTCGCTTGGAGAAAACAAGGCTAGAACTAGGGTCTTAGTGACTGGGGACCGAGTGTTGTGAGTACATATACAAATTAGAAAGGTCTCGCCCCCTCCAGGTTGCTCGTGTAGTGCAGGTTGTCAGAAAGTCTGGGGCAAATGTCCATGTGTCGTGGGGTGGTACACACGGGTCCGAGTCCCTTTTCATTCACAAATGCTCACTTAGCCGGTGAGAGGTCAGTTATCTCTATTTCACGAATGAGCAGAAGGAGCCTTAGAAGTTAAGTCACCTCCTACGTAAAAGTTCTGGATCTCTGTGTGAAGTCGGGGGCTTTGCCCTGGGTTACACAGACAGACTGCGAGGACCACCTTTCTCATTAACATTAGCAGCAGCCAACACTGATGGGGTCCCTTTTGACAGGGAGATGAAGTACAACAAGGGCGAAAGAATGTCCCTGTGGGGATTGGTCTAGACCTTTTCTTTTAAGTATCTTTAGGTCAGTTCCAGCACAGGCTGGTCCCATGGGTCACCCACAGAGACCTTGGCCATCCCTGGACACTCAGGGCTAAGAGCCCACCGTGGAGGCCAACTCCAGATGCAGGACAGAGGGCATGGTGCCTAGGTAACGGAGGAGAAAGTCCCTGACAGAGGCTGGAACATCATCCAAGTGGAGATAGTGAGGCAGAGGGAAGGGAAGAAGCCTAAGGATTTCTCCATAGGTGGAGATGCAGGAGGGGCTGAGGAAGCAGCCTGCTGACCTATGTCCAGTCATCTCTCATTCGTGGGCAAGCCCTCAGATCTTGCCTTATTGTCCAGGGAGAGAGAGACCAGCCACAGACACCACCATCAACCACCCCACCCCTTCCAGCTCCCCCTTTGCAGGGTGGAGACAGAAGGTAAGAGCCAAAGGTAGTTGTTCCCAGCACTGCCCCATCTGGGAGGTTCTGCCACTCAAGATCCAGTGAACAAGCCATTATGGGAAGCTTGGTCCGTAGAGGCAGATGAGGCTGCCGGAGGTGTCGAGTACTTGGGTGGATAACGAATGAAAAGCCGATCTTCCTCTTTCTTCACCCAGCGTAGGAGTTTGGTCACTACCAAGATGGCACCTGCCTTGGTCACCAGGGGGCTGAGGCAGGTATAGAGCTCAAATTTAGAGGTTACCTGTGGGTTTGAGAGGAGACAGAGTCAGTTGGGCTGGAAATGGTCATCCCTAACCCTGTCCATCCAACCCGAGCCCCATGCCTATCTCCTGTTTGGAAGACGCACCTGGCAGCAGCTCCCACCTGATGCTGTCTGGTCACTGGGCTAAAGCAGGTAAGCTGATATTATTGTGTCATGGGTGAGCCAGGGGTTCTCAGTTGAACCAAGGGTGGGCCAGGTTCAGTTGAGCCAAGGGATCGTTTAGATCTAGTGGCTTCAACTGGGTGATGCTGACTGTGATGCTCACCTATAGAATGGGTGTAACAACAACAGTGCTTTTTAATGAGCAATTGTTGTATACAAGGTCCTGTTCTGAGCTCTACACACCTATGTCTTCATCATCTGTACCCTGAGTATAAGAGGATTAATTCCATTTAATCCTCACACCAATCTGAGAGATGTAATGTCATGAGATCACCAGTTCTTTCCACACCACTTCTCACTGCTCTCCCCTCACTTCCTCTGTTCCAGCCACTCTAGCCTTTTTGCTCTTCCTCAACCATAAACCAGGCTCAGTCCCACCTCACAGCATTTGCACAGCCCTTTCCCTCTGCCAGCTGTACTCTTCCTCCAGATACTCACATGGCCCACTACCTCCCTGCCCCACTTAGCTGCCATCTCCTTGGTGAGTAATCCCCCAATCATCCGATTTAAAATCCTGGGCCTACCATATCTTGGTTTTGAATCACCATTCTTCACTAAAAGGTACAAGAGCTACTTGGACAAATGGACTGACACAGAGAAAGTACAAGATGAGCTTGGAACATCTTGTGCCAAAAAGTAAGAAGTGTTCCAGCAGCGATGGAGACATGTCAAATGACACAAGGGACAGTGTACCTACATCACGGCTCCCACTGGCTATGTGAGAGACAATTTGAGCAATGAAATAAATAACAGACAAGAAAAATAAAGGATAGAGAAGATTTTAGCCCACTGAATTAAAGAAAAATCCATGAGACCATAACTAATATAAAATTAAAAATTCAACAAATACAGGAGGAAAAGGTCTCTAAGACAATAGAATATCAAACAATAACTGTAGAAGGAATGACAGGGTTAGAAAAATGACAGTCTAGTAATAAACACCAGAGTAATAACTATTGCAGGCAAGAATCATTAATGGATATTAAAATTAGTGGGTGAAAATATGATGAAAAACAGAACAGTAACATAATCACCTCATGCTATTTACTAATTACAAAGGGGAGAAATACTAACCTTACTGTGGATAAATCTGACAGACACCACCTTAACTAAGTGATCAAGGCTAATATCATCAACAACAGGACAAACTGACATTGTGGGCCTCCTGATATGATGCAGAGAAGGACACATCACTTCTGTGATATTCTTTCAAAAAATGCATGACCTCTATTTAGTCAGGATAAATACCAGGAAAACCCAAGTTGAGGGACATTCTAAAAACTAACTGGCTGGCACCCTTTAAAAGTGCCAAGATTATGAAAGACAAAAAAGACTGAGGAACTGTTCCAGAATAAATGACACTAGGGAGACACAATAAATAAATCCAGCATGTGATCCTGGACTGGATTCTGGACCAGTAAAAAAACATTAGTGGGGCAACTGGTGAAATCTGAATGAAGTCTGTGGATTAGATGCCATTATACTGGTGTTAATTCCCTGATTTTGATAAGTTACTGTGGTTATATTAATATCTGGAGAAATTAGGTGATGGAGTTATTTATAGTAATTTTTTCTACTATTTTTGCAACTTCTTTGTAAGTCTAAAATTGCTTGGAAATAAAGTTTAAAAAAATAAAAAACAAAAAAAGCCCCTGGCTTAGAACAATGCCTGATACTCAATAGGTACCCAATACATTATTTAATAAATGTGCACTGAATGGCAGAGCCCAGGGGGAAGGTGCCATTTCCTATGGGGTCACCTTGACCAGAATAGATGACATTTAACCCTTTGCACTCCGAACCATTCTGGACATTGGCTACCAGCTACTCGACGCTACTTTGCGGCGGAAACGTGCATTTACAGACCCTCGTATTATTTAGTATAATTTTGGAACCAAGTAACGTATTATAATGATATTGGACTTATATGAATTGGGTGACATCGAGGAATGTATATTTGCAAAAAAAACAATATTTTATTGTTTATAATTTTGTACAGTATGATAAGTTTTGTAACACTCCCCAATATGCATTGCAGGCTGATTAGTGCATGTTTGACAGTAATAAGTGGTTTGACGCCTGCCACCAGGTGTTTTCCTGTTAGAACACACAATGCAGTCCCGTTTTCTTTGTCCCACATCGGGAATATGTAGTTTATTGTTTAATCCGACACAAAACCCGCTGACATTTCTTGTATATATCTTAGTAATTTTACGATATTTTGATTTAATTTCTTGTGCCATTTCAAGATAAAACTTCAGGGAACAATGCATGTCTCAAAAAGTTGCGTTGAAATAACTCAATTCCCCGTAATCACTAATAAACTGCAATGTCCCCTGAGAGGGGACATCCGAGTGATATGCTAGAATTCCGATGTCCCCTGAGAGGGGACAGCGGAGTGCAAAGGGTTAATACACCCATAGAAAGTGAGGACAGAAGCCCTGGAAAGACTGCAGGGAAGGATATGCCAGGTAGGAGGCATAGCATGGAACCACGCCTTTGGTATTCAAGGAGTTCTGAACTGGTGCCTGAAGACACATGGGCGGGACTAATGGGAATATAGGAAATCAGCAGACACAGTGATGGTTGTTAATGGGGCCTCTTGAAAGTTGACACTGTCCTGGTTGCTAATGGGGGAACAGCAAACAGAATGATGGGGTTAATGAGGTTTGGAGACACTGTGATTGACCCTTATGGGTTTCAAAGACACATGTGTAATGGCAGGGACAGTGTTGAAAGCAAAGGTATACAAAGGCTATGGATGGAGTTTGTGATGGCTGGGGGGATACAATGGACGCAAAAAGAACTGAAGCAGGGAATTAACCCCTGAAGAGCCCTCTCCCCAACTCACCCAGGCCAGCAGAGTCTCCTTCTCAGCCACGTGGTAAATGAGGCGCAGCGGCCGGGAGCTACTATGGAGGCGAGCATGCAGGCGGTGGTATAGGTCCGACAGTCGCTGCCGTTCCTCTTCTCTGCTGTACGGGGCCTCTAGCTCAGGGCTGCAGTGAGGGAGGGAGGCCAGCGACAGGGTCAGTCTAGGGCTTTCTTGGCTGGCCATCTCCCCTCAGTCTAAGGAGTTCAATTAAGCTAAGGAGCTAAATAAGCCTTCCCCATTAGACTTAAAGAATCTCTATGGTCAGAGGCCCAGCTTTCCCCTCAAACTATGGGATTCCTTGAATACTGGGGCCTTAGTTTCCATTAGAATAAGGGATTCCTTGAGATTGGTAGTTGAGCGTCCCTCATCAGTTATACACCTGTTCTATTCCATCATTCTCGAGCAGTGGTCGGCAAACTCATTAGTCAACAGAGCCAAATATCAACAGTACAACGATTGAAATTTCTTTTGAGAGCCAACTTTTTTAAACTTAAACTATATAGGTAGGTACATTGTTATTAACTTAATTAGGGTACTCCTAAGGCTTAGGAAGAGCCACACTCAAGGGGCCAAAGAGCCGCATGTGGCTCGTGAGCCGCAGTTTGCCGACCACTGTTCTAGAGCATCAGTTGCCAACCTTTCGGACCTCATGGACCACCAGTGGTCCATGGACTACCAGCTGGTGACCGCTGTTGTAGAGCATGGCTGGCTTTCTTTCCTGAAACATGTCTATGAGATGCTGAACCTTCCAGTTAGATAAGCCTTCCCACCTGGCAGACTGCCCAAGGATCAGGACCCACCTGGTAAACTGAGGCAGCTGGCGGTGATGGTCAGGGATGTCCAGTGGCTTATAGAGGAAGTGACGAAGGCCAGGTGCTCCCACGGCCTGCACACTGTAGGATGGGGCAGTGGCTGATGGGGCATTAGAGAAACTGGCAGCCTCCCCAAGGTTACGCATGGCACCAAGCGTGTGCATGCCGTCTTCCACCAGGCGCCGGCAGGTGGCCATGTCATGGAAGGCCTCAGGGTCAGTGCCAAGTAGCAGCAGGCAGACAGGCATGGCGTCCAGGCGGGCCACATAGGCATAGAAGAAACCATCTGGGTTGAAGCGGGGCAGGCACACAGGTGCCCACGCTTCCCCTGCTGCAAAGGCAGGTGCACTGACCCAGTTGAGCAGCAACTGCAGGTCAGCTGGGTCCAGCCGGCACTCAGCCAACACATTCCGCTCCTGGGCTGCTGTCACCAGTTGACCACCCACCGCCAGCACGGACAGTGCCAGGCCAGGTGCTGTGCAACGTCGGAGCAGTGTACCCAGTGCTTCCCGCAGCGGGCGAGTGAGGGGCACACAGCGGACCGCACCCAGGAGCAGGGCACCTGGGTCCCGCTCCACACTGTCCAGAAGCCGGTCTAGGGTGCGCTCGGAGCCAGCTAGCAGGCGGCGGAGGTCGTAGTTCTGCTTACGGGCGAAGATGCGGGCCACACTTGCACGGGTCAGTGTACTCACGATCTGTGCGTGCACAGCTAGAAGCTCCTCCCGCAGCTGGGCTGCTGACTGAGGAGTCCTTGACACAGCCACCAGCAGCAGTGGGCCCTGCTGTAGGAACACCAGCTTGTGGTCCTCTGGGGGAGGGAAGGGATGGGCAGGGGGTAGCGATGAGTCGGTGGTGACTGAGAGGATCAGGTGAGGCTCTTCCCCCCTTTCCCTGAACACACACCTCTGGCCCAAGCTTTCGCGGTCACTCTGTGGAAACTCGGACTTAGGGTTAGGACAATCTGGGGGAGACTGAACATTTGTAGAGACACGATGGGATGGTCAAAGAATCAGGTTAGACATATAACATGAAGTGGGGGAAGATGAAGCAAGGAATGACACAGCCAGAAAGATACCCAACTCAGCCACACAGCCACACAACCATGCTGTCAGATAAACAAGGAAGTATCCAGCCAGTCACTTACATCCCAGGAGTTAATCACTCAGAACCCAGAAGGCCAAACTGACAGATGGACACAACACCAAGCCCTCACCCCTTCAGGACTGGAAAGCCAGCCACACACACTGACCCACACCTGGCTGGCTGGACAGTGCCCCCGGAAGTCAGACAGACCTATAGCTGCTACCCAGACAGCCATATTCATATTCACAGTCACTGCCCCCAGTTCCACCTCCTGCCCCTTTGCTCACCAGCATAGATGGCGCGGATGGTATCTCCTGCACTCTGCACGAAAGACACGAGAGCTGTCATCACACCCATGGTAGTCGACAGTGCCTCCACACTACCGTACCTCGAGTAGATGGGCTTGCCTGCCTCACTCAGTACAAACACGTGCTTTCGCTTGCTGCGCCAGTCCTCGTCACTTGGATCTCCGCCCTGGCCCCCGGAGCCACTCTCAGAGTCATCCATGGCATTATTCTCAGAGGCTGCAGGATCCCAGAGCTCACGGGTACATGAAGGGGACTCTGACTGGGGCAGTGGTGACAGCAGGCTGGGTGGCTGGTCCTTGGTCTTGGATCCTGAAAGGGAGCCCCTGGTGGGTCACCTGCCTGTGGACTCCCACTAACCCCCTGTGCCCAAGGACTCACCAAATGCCTACCAGCCCCTTCCCCCAATGACCCCTGATGCTGACACAGAACTCCAGGTATCTTCTCTGCCCTTCAATTACATCCACATGATGCCCTTAAAACCCCAATAATCCAATCTCTCATTGTCATAATTGAACCCTCTTATGTCCTAAAGACCAATTATTCCCCTTTCAATAACTGCCATTTCTAAGTCTTCAAAGCACCCCATTTCCTGAATAACTTACATCTTCAATGATCCCCATTAATAACCTCTGATCCCTCATCCTCCTGATACCATTACATCTATTTTTTTAAATATATTTTATTAATTTTTTTTTTTTTTTTTTTACAGAGAGGAAGGGAGAGGGATAGAGAGTTAGAAACATCGATGAGAGAGAAACATCGATCAGCTGCCTCCTGCACACCCCCTACTGGGTATGTGCCTGCAACCAAGGTACATGCCCTTGACCGGAATCGAACCTGGGACCTTTCAGTCCGCAGGCCGAAGCTCTATCCACTGAGCCAAACCGGTTACGACCCATTACATCCATTAATATTTGGGTTTTTCACTGCTCCTTGTCCCCACTACCTTAATCCCTTAGTTATTCTCACTGATGTCCACTGATCCCTAATGACCCTATTGATTCTCTTGAGCACCATTTATATTCTTGATGATGACCACTGATTCTCCCAATGACTGCATGAATATCCACTAACACCCAGATCTTTAATCCCCTCTATTTACTCCCACTGCTGTTCATTACCATTTCAAAGACCCCACATTAACATCACTAATACCTGGGTCTTCAATGACCTTCACTGACTGCTCTGACCCACAATCTATTCTACTCCATGTCCATTCCACCCCTACCTGACCACTATTAATGTCCACTAACATCCTAGACTTCCAGTAGTCTCTGTTGACTCCCCTAACCCTCTTTTATTCCCTTCTCTCCAATGATCACTATTAATCTCCACTAACACCTAGGACTTCAATGACCTCCACTGACTCTCTTGATCTCCCTTTATTCTCAGTGGTATCCACCCCCCTCCCTACAATAACCACCATAATATACACTAAAACACAGGACTTCTATAAATATGACCTCCACTGCCCTTTCCTATGATTATTATTAACAATCACCAATGAAACCCACCACTTCAATGCCTCCTACTGACTCCCCTGACACACCTCCTATTAATCCAGTCAATGTCCATTGATTTCCCCCAAGGACAACCATTATTACCCACTGGCAACTATGTCTCAACAATTTTCCCATGAAATCCCCATGACCTCATATTCCTTCATTCTCTCACTGACATTCTATGACTCCACTTGCTCCCAATTACCAACGACCTCCTCCCAATCTCTGCCATTACTTGCTAACAATTCCCAAGTTCTCAAAGACCGCCCTCCTCCACCGTTTAATCTTAAGAGATGTCCACTGCTCCTTCCAACGTGATCAATGAGCAATGCCCCCAATGACTTCCATCGACGCTCCACAGAATACCTTTACACATCCACCTGGGTCTTCAAAGACTCTCCTACTGGTCCTCTAACTCCCCAAGTAATCTCATTGATGTCCACTGCCTGCCCACCCATAATCGCCATTAGTAGCCACTAACATCTGGTTCCTTAAGAGAGTACCTCTGACAACTCACCATTGTCTCCTCAATGAGGTAAATACTCTGGGTGTCCACAGGCTTCCACTGACCCTCTTCCCCACCTCAGTGACTTAAATGACACCCTAGTCCCCAAAGACACCGATTTCTAAATAGTCCACCTTGGACCTTCTTAACTTCCTTTCGGTCAGTCATTGACCTGACCATCTTAAATCCCCAGTGCCCCCCTTTGACCCCAACTAATCCCTTTTTGATACCCCAAGGGCCTAACTCAACCCAAGTCCCCAGTGAACATTCACCGATGCTCACTGATTTCCTCCTTTTCATTCCTCGAGGATTTAAACTGCAATGTGAGTCAACGACGACCTCTTACTGACCACATGCAACCCTGTTAAGACCCAAAAAGGCTCGTTACTGGTCCCTTCATTGACCTCCCTCAACAATGACACCCCTATACATTCTTTGGAATTTGTGGTAAGGAAAAAACATACCTGTTTCCTCCAGGCTCCGGTCCTCGGAATCTGTAGGGTCCTCCTGAACCCCTCCACCGTCTCCAGCCTCCTCACTGGGGAGCCGCGTGTCCTCCAAGTCCTCGGCGTCCCCGGGGGCTGGGGCAGCAGGGTCTCCTCCGGCCTCCATCTGCACATCCCTGGGCGGCAGGGGAAGTGAGGGTGATGGGCAGCAAAAGAAACTTCCTGAAAGCCTTTACTGAGCTTAGCCCTCTTGTCCACGCTCCTAGTGCTCGTTTACCCTCGGTTTTGAACAGGATGAGACATTTAAAAATGTGACCAAATTACTTGCATCCTCCAGCACTTGCCGAAAAGGGAGGATCTACCGAGCCGCAGGAATTAAAAGATACATAAACATCTGTTTTAACCCGGTATCTCAACTGGCCGGGTACCATTACTTCCCATGGCCTCGGAAGCATCACACTTCCGGGTGCGACTGATGTCTTGCCACACTTCCGGGTGCGACGACGCTCTGAAGGAACTTGGTGCCGCAGACCTTCATTCGCAGCCCGCCGGCCCGACCCCTCTCCCGCTGCCCACTGGTCTTCGCTCACCGTTGAGAAGGAGCGCACCACTCCCGGGTCTACGTCGGGTCCGGTTGGGAACCCAGCTAGCCCCCTCTGCACGCCTTTGCACCAAACTGGCTCCACAGCTACGCGAGGCGAGCGGGGTGCACTTCTCGTACCGAAGGCTGTTGGCGTGAGGGGGGCGCGGCTCACGGTCAGCCAATCCGGAGTACGGGGGCGCACGGCCCTCCGTATGGCCCAATCAAGAGAAGCCGGCATCCCTCTCCCTCCCCGTATCCGCCTCTTCTCTCTACCAATAATGTGCGCTGGATTGCGATTGCACCCGCCCATTCCTTGACTGACAGTTTCCTGGGCCCAATCGAAAGCTCGAGCCAATTCCCCTTTTCGCTCGAGGACGTTCACAGCCTAAACAACCGTAGATACAGTACCCGACCAATAGGATGTTTGACGGACAGCCGCCGCTTCCAATTGGAGTGCCGTGCGTAACCTGGTCAGCCTATGGAACTCGGTGCTCAAGCAGAAGGCGGACCTCTCAGAAATAGGAAGTATTCGCAAGTCTCTGTATTCAGCCAAGCAAAGGGCTCGTGGCCTCTGGAGAAAAGGGAAGCACGAGCCGTGAACATCCTCACAGCGCGGAGGAATGAGTTTGCGAAGGTAATGTGCAGGCTGATCAGGGCTCGCCCAGACGGGCAAAATACCGAGCCGACCTCCTTTCAAATAAGCCACGGCCCTGTGGGCGGAGCTATAGAGATGGGAAGTGCCTGTCTGACGGGGTAGCCGGTGGGCGTGGCCTTGAGAGCCTGCTGAGTTCCGTGGGCTGAAGAAAATGCCCATTGGCCGCTATCTGGCAAAGCTGTATAAATGGCGTGCCTACATTGTCTAGTCTTCCCTTTTCTCCTTTTCTGTTAAATAATAACTAGGTTTTTAGAACAGTATCACCAAGAGCCAATTACGTAGTTAGCTAGGAGGCGATCCTCCCGCAGTTGAGTCTTGACATGACTGTAGTTCTGATTTTCATCTTGGTTGCAGCCTCGCAAAAACACCCTGAGGCACAGTCACTAAGGCTAAAACAGAAAAATTTGCTCCATTGGGCTTCATTAAATTTTTTAAAAGTATGCTCTTTGCAAGGCGCTTCTAAAAGAATGAAAAGCCACAGATTGGGGGGAAAAATATCACATATCTAACAAAAAACAGTTAGTGGGAATGTGAGCAACATATGCACAAGACCTATATCCAGGTTACTATAAGATTTTTCTGAAAGAAACTAAGAAGATCTCAATAAATTGGGATTATACTATGATCATTGATTGGAAACCTTAAAAAAAGTCTACATTTTAGTGTAATTGTGATGAATATTCTACCATAAATTTTTGAGGAAACATGATTTTATCCTAATAAGATGGGGACTTTGGGAGGTAAGTAGGTTCAGAAGGTCATAAGGGTGGGTGCACCTGAGGGGATTGGTGGTGTTAGAAGAAGAGCCCAGAGAGCTTGCTTTCTCTTTCCCTCCTTCCCGTGAGGATACAGCAGCAAGGCAGTGGTCTGCAAACCGGGAAGTGTGTCCTCACCGGATACCAGTCTACTGCCACTTTGATTTTGGACTTTCCAGAAATAAATTGGTTTGTGCTATTTTATTATAGCCACTTGAGCTGATGAAAACACCGCCATACTCCTTACGCCCATGTCACACGCCTGCCTTTAATTACAGAGGATCAAGTTAACTGAGGGGGTATTTGAGTTCATTTATATGACTTCGAAGGAGGATAATTGTGTTTACGTCCGAAAGTGGACATCTCAGGAGAAATCCCTCACCTAGGGTAAAGTGACCACTCTCCAGATTCCCACCCCTATTCCTTGGCATGTGTTTCTAAAAAGTGGATCACACCCATCTTCCCAGGACAAAAGGTCCGCCTCTGTGCACATGATTCTTCATGAGTCAGCCTACTGCACTCCCAGGAGTGGCCAGCCATGCGCACTTGTACACCTGCCTCAGGGTGCTCTGAGTCTCTGCAATGGACTCTTTGTAAAACACAATGTGTTCTTTTCTGTGGATATCTGCACACGCTGAAGCGATTCCCAGGCTCTGCCTTCCATTCCCACACACCTTTCTCAACCATAACAAATGGAAACAATATATGCAGCAGAAATTACTGAGTGGAAGATTTCTAGCTGGGAACACCAACAAGGCAAAACTGTGGGTCTACAAGAAAACACACACACTATTATGCTATTTTATACTGTACCTCAGACATTTTGGGTATTATGTGACATGCTTCCATTTTAGTAAGTGGTCAACCTGTGTTGGTTTGTAACATGCACTCTGGCCTACTATTGGTGGGGCTGTAGCTCAGCTATGAATTTAGCTTCCAAAGCCTTTGCAGTGCAATTCTGGTCTCCCTCACTTGTGTGCTAGCCACAGGTCAATTTTGAAGCCAGTCTGGTACTCAGTGCTGTAGTTCAGTTCTCAAACCTTTTGCCTGTGTTGGTTCTGGTCATTTTCATACATGCATCTCTTAGAGGTTTGCCAGGACATTATATACAAATTTAGTGAATCTCTTTCTCTTGCCTCATCTTTTCCATAAAGCTCCCCATATTCTCTAGTTGGGATAGGGACAATGTAGGGAGGTAACAAGGATGTAGGGATGGAATTCCAAGCTCTAGGCAACAAGGTGCCAGCAGTCACACACACACTGATTCTAATACTCTACAGAATTAATCCAGGTAAGTCACTAAACAAATAAACCAACAGAAATCTAGCAACCACAATCATCCACAAGGTGGGAACAGAATCCAAAGTTGGTATATGATCTACAATGCCAATTTTTTCAATATTGCAGGCAAAGAAATAGGAAAGTGTGCCTTATAAGTGTGCATGTATACACCGGGGAAAAAACACTTGCTGATAGAAATGCTCTCTGAGGGGGCTAAGCTGTTGGATTTGGCAGAAAAGGACTTCTAAACAGGTATTATAAATATGTTTTTAAAACTAATAGAAACCACATGGACAACAGTGGGTGATTGTGGGTAAATGGGGAGAGTGGAGGTGGAAGAGTGTAGGGGGGGATAAATAGTGATGGAAAAAAATTTAAAAAAACACAAATAGAAACCATATCTAAAGAATTTAAAAATGCAATTGCATGACTCATAAAATAAACAATATGAGTAAATAAATTGATATTGTAAATATGAACCAATAAGAATATCTGGAGTTTTAAAAGTACAGTAATTGATATGGGTAATTTATTAGAGAGGTTCAAAAGCAGATCTGAGCTAGCAGAAGGAAGGAAAAAAGGGAGAAGATAAAACTGAAGATAGATCAGTGGAGATTTCCCAATTGATGAACAGAAATGTAAAAGAATGTAAAAAAATGAATAAATGCTAATGAGATCCTTAGGAAACCATTAAACATGCAACATGGGGAAGGAGATTGGGTGTGGGCGAATGGATGAAGAGGTACAAACTTCCAACTAAAAAATGAGTCATGGGATGTAATACACAGCATGGTGACTATAGTCAATAATATTGCATTGCATATTTAAATATTGCTAAGAGAGTAAATCTTTTTTTAAAATTCTTTATTGTTTAAAGTATTATATGAGTCTCTTTTTCCCCCCATTGATCTCTACCTTTCCACCCTCTTAAAAGTTCTCATCACAAGAAAAAAAATGCTATAACTTTGTTGTATGGTGATGGAAGGTAACTAGATTTTGTGGTGATCATTTTGCAGTGTATAAAAATGTTGAATCATTATGTACACTGAAACTAATATAATATTACATGTCAATTATACTCCAATTTAAAAAATGCAATATTAGTCCCAGAAAGAGAAGAGAGAGAAAGAGGCAGAAAAAATTAATAGCTGAAAACTCCTCAAATTTGAAAAAAAGATGTAATATCTGTACTTAAAAAGTGCAAGAAAGCCCCGGCCGGCAGGCATGACTCAATGGTTGAGCAGAGACCTATGAACCAGGAGGTCATGGTTTGATTCCTAGTCAGGCATATGCCCAGGTTGTGGGCTCGATCCCCAGTGTGGGGCGAATAGGAAGCAGCCGATCAATGATTCTCTCTCATCATTGATGTTTCTATCTCTCTCTCCCTCTTCCTTCTTTTCTGAAATCAATAAAAATATATTAAAAAAAAGAAGTTCTACAAACTCAAAATTGTTTAAACATGAAGATACCTACACCTAGTTCCTGTGGATAAGAATCACCTAGTCAAGGGCATGTACCTTGGTCGCAGGCACATCCTCAGTAGAGGGTGTGCAGGAGGCAGCTTTCTGCAGGGCTCTCAAGCTCCTTGGAGGATAAACAGTTAACTGCATTTTATTTTCATCTCTTGAGCATAAAATATGTTTAAAAAAAAAAAGTTCAACAAACTCAAAATAGTTTAAACATAAAGATATCTACACCTAGTTCCTGTGGATAAGAATCACCTAGTCTAGGCCACTGTTTTAAAGTGTTGCCCCTTGGCAGTCTTAGCTGAGATACTCCACAAAATTTCTGCAGGGCTCTCAAGCTCCTTGGAGGATAAACAGTTAACTGCATTTTATTTTCATCTCTTGAGCATATCCATTTGGGAAATAAGGCCTGATGAAGGGTTCACAAATCAATTGGAACCCTTTAGAAGAGTCACAACTCCACCTGCCCTCGGACTCCTTTGCTTTATTTTGTTTATTCCTTTTAGGACTTCTTACAGTTTTATTTTTACATTTCAACTTTTTAAACAAACTTTTAGTTTTGGAATAATTTTAGATTTACAGAAAAGTCGGAAATTTAGTATGGAGAGTTCCTGTATACCTTTCATCCAGTTTCCCCAAAGTTAACATCTTTTTAATATATATATATATTTCAGGGAGGAAGAGAGAGGGAGAGAGACAGAAACATCAATGATGAGAGAGAATCATTGATCGAGCACGCAACCCGGACATGTGCCCTTGATTGGAATTGAACCCAGGACCCTTCAGTTCGCAGGCTGATGCTCTATCCACTGAGCCAAACCGGCTAGGGCCAAAATTAACATCATCCATAACCACGATACATTTGTCAAAACTGCAACATTAATATTGGAAACAATACTGTGAGCTAAACTTTAAACTTTATTTGTGCTTAATCTGTCTTGACACCCATATCCTTTTTCACTTCCCTGCTCTAATTCTGGATAACAGATTACATTGAGTCTTCATAACACATG